ATCACAGAAGGTACATTTGAAGGAACAGGCTCGAGAAAGGTAGCGAATGATGACTGCTTATGCTTTTCGGCGTGACACATGATGATGGTTATCTGTCTAGGAAGAGGAGGGTGATGTGCGAATTTTGTTTCCGCCCTGAAAAAAAAAAGGGGGGGGGGGGGGGTGGTGGTCGGCAAAACAAGTTTGAGAAGCACTGGTCTAAATGATCAGCTCTCGACACCATTGTCGAAATCAACGCAAAGCTGTCTGCTTTCAAATCGACAATCATCATCATCAGCAAGTGCTTTGCCAGCTGGCGTAGCCGTTCGGGCACCTCCACAGGTTTCGGTCTTTTGTGTTCTGGATCAATTCCACTGATGATATTCCTCCATGCCACTGTTTTAAGCCATTAACCATAATTTCTCTTGGTCTTCCTCTGCCTCTTCTACCAGTGATCTTCCTAGCGGTCACGATGTTTTCAGTGCTCCTTTTCTCATCACATGACCAAAGAACTTTGTTTGTCTCCTTCTCATTGTTGTATGTAACGTTCTACTTTTATTAGCCATTTTCAGGCAATCATTGTTAGTTATTATGGCAGTCTAAGGTATTCACAACACTTTTTTAAGAATCACATCTTATCGGACCGACAGTAGCTCGAAAATAACCCGTGAACCATCATTAAAATGATTAATCTCACCATTTTACACACGTATCGTCATGATCATTATCAAGGATCCAGTCAAAGAAGAGGCATTCCAACTTTACGTCCAGACAATGAAGACCATTCTCGGCTGTAGATTTGAAGATGTGGACAATATCACTCTACAGGTAGGGTCAGTTTGCCTTCTGTTGTTGTGTGTGCTAGTCTTGTGTGTGCTAGTCTTGTGTGTGCTAGTCTTGTGTGTGCTAGTCTTGTGTGTGCTAGTCTTGTGTGTGCTAGTCTTTTGCTAGTCTTGTGTGTGCTAGTCTTGTGTGTGCTAGTCTTGTGTGTGCTAGTCTTGTGTGTGCTAGTCTTGTGCTAGTCTTGTGTGTGCTAGTCTTGTGTGTGCTAGTCTTGTGTGTGCTAGTCTTGTGTGTGCTAGTCTTGAGTGTGCTAGTCTTGTGTGTGCTAGTCTTGTGTGTGCTAGTCTTGTGTGTGCTAGTCTTGTGTGTGCTAGTCTTGTGTGTGCTAGTCTTGTGTGTGCTAGTCTTGTGTGTGCTAGTCTTGTGTGTGCTAGTCTTGTATGTGCTAGTCTTGTGTGTGCTAGTCTTGTGTGTGCTAGTCTTGTGTGTGTGCTAGTCTTGTATGTGTGCTAGTCTTGTGTGTGTGCTAGTCTTGTGTGTGCTAGTCTTGTGTGTGTGCTAGTCTTGTGTGTGCTAGTCTTGTGTGTGTGCTAGTCTTGTGTGTGTGCTAGTCTTGTGTGTGCTAGTCTTGTGTGTGCTAGTCTTGTGTGTGTGCTAGTCTTGTGTGTGCTAGTCTTGTGTGTGCTAGTCTTGTGTGTGTGCTAGTCTTGTGTGTGCTAGTCTTGTGTGTGCTAGTCTTGTGTGTGCTAGTCTTGTGTGTGTGCTAGTCTTGTGTGTGCTAGTCTTGTGTGTGCTAGTCTTGTGTGTGTGCTAGTCTTGTGTGTGCTAGTCTTGTGTGTGCTAGTCTTGTGTGTGTGCTAGTCTTGTGTGTGCTAGTCTTGTATGTGCTAGTCTTGTATGTGTTAGTCTTGTGTGTGCTAGTCTTGTGTGTGCTAGTCTTGTGTGTGCTAGTCTTGTGTGTGCTAGTCTTGTTAGTGCTAGTCTTGTGCTAGTCTTGTGTGTGCTAGTCTTGTGTGTGCTAGTCTTGTGTGTGCTAGTCTTGTGTGTGCTAGTCTTGTGTGTGCTAGTCTTGTTAGTGCTAGTCTTGTGCTAGTCTTGTGTGTGCTAGTCTTGTGTGTGCTAGTCTTGTGTGTGCTAGTCTTGTGTGTGCTAGTCTTGTGCTAGTCTTGTGTGTGCTAGTCTTGTGTGTGCTAGTCTTGTGTGTGCTAGTCTTGTTAGTGCTAGTCTTGTGCTAGTCTTGTGTGTGCTAGTCTTGTGTGTGCTAGTCTTGTGTGTGTGCTAGTCTTGTGTGTGTGCTAGTCTTGTGTGTGCTAGTCTTGTGTGTGCTAGTCTTGTGTGTGCTAGTCTTGTGTGTGCTAGTCTTGTGTGTGCTAGTCTTGTGTGTGCTAGTATTGTGTGTGCTAGTCTTGTGTGTGCTAGTCTTGTGTGTGCTAGTCTTGTGTGTGCTAGTCTTGTGTGTGCTAGTCTTGTGTGTGCTAGTCTTGTGTGTGCTAGTATTGTGTGTGCTAGTATTGTGTGTGCTAGTCAGCTCATCAGACAAATCACAGTTCTAATTTGATAGCTACCCTCCCCCCAAATACAATAAATTAAGAAGGGAGTGCGATTCAGCGCCCTCTCTCCGACCCACTTCTCTTATCAATATTCAAACATAGGTCGCTAAATGATGCTGTGGGGGAGGGGGGGGGGCCCTCAGGCTCAACCAGCTAACTTAGAGCAAATGATCGATGGGACCCCCAAACAACGCCCTCATCACAACCAAACAAACTTTCTAGCTATATGATGCTGTGTTTTAGGGTGGGGAAGGGGGGGGGGTGTTGAGGGAGAGGGGGAACTCGGTCCCTAAGTGCTCCCCCACCCAGTACTTTTGTAAGGAGGCTAAGATGCCTTTAACCACGTGTACAAATTGTCTTGTAACGTAGCTGTTTGTGCATCTCATATTATTTCAAGTATATTTTTGCCTTTCTGCACATTACTATTAAAAAGTTAAGTAAAAGTAAAGGACCCCTTTCCACGCCTTTTAGACGTATTTTGGGTATATATGACTAGATCTATATTTTATAGACCAGACGGCACTCGGTGGGTGATGGGGCCAGCATCACGCCGGCCGCCTTTACTTCTAAGGACTGCACCTACTCCCACTCAAGGCTGGGTCCACCAGTCTAGATCATTTTTGAAAGTACCAACACCAACAGTCCGACATTATGTACTCAGTTTATCGTCGAGGAAAGCAGCAGTTACAATAGATCAGTAGTTGCACACGCAGTTGATTTCACAAGGCAATGCAATTTCTCTGGCATCTGACCACTTCCACATTTTCTGAATCTGCAGTTCACAACACAGCCACAGTAGACACATTCGAGAAGCTTTCAAATGATATATGCAGCTCGAAGTGTCAGGTAATGCACTTAACACAGTAGCTGGGCGACGGAACTATATACTTTCTGTCCTCATTTGAAGGATAACGCGATAGATAACTATAGTCAGTAGAAGGAATAAAATTGCAACGATTAGAAACATGAAACCTGTATATCCACCATACTGATCGAATCCGGAGACTTGTGTTATATTTCATGTTAGTCGCTAGTCGTTAATCGACATCCAGTCTGGCCGCAGATGTCCGTCGGAACAAAACTTGCTCCAGCTGACAGCTAGAGTCAGTCGTGGACGGAACAATGGCCATGAAATCTCTGGGACAGCTAGAGTCAGTCGTAGACGGAACAATGGCCATGAAATCTCTGGGACAGCTAGAGCCAGTCGTGGACGGAACAACGGTCATGAAATCTCTGGGACAGCTAGAGCCAGTCGTGGACGGAACAATGGGCATAAAATCTGTGGGACAACTAGAGCCAGTCGTGGACGGAACAACGGTCATGAAATCTCTCGCACAGCTAGAGCCAGTCGTGGACGGAACAACGGTCATGAAATCTGTGGGACAGCTAGAGCCAGTTGTAGACGGAACAACGGTCATGAAATCTCTCGCACAGCTAGAGCCAGTCGTGGACGGAACAACGGTCATGAAATCTGTGGGACAGCTAGAGCCAGTTGTAGACGGAACAACGGTCATGAAATCTCTGGCACAACTAGAGCCAGTCGTGTACGGAACAACGGTCATGAAATCTCTGGGACAGCTAGAGCCAGGCGTAGACGGAACAACGGTCATGAAATCTGTGGGACAGCTAGAGCCAGTCGTGGACGGAACAACGATCATGAAATCTCTGGCTTTAATTGTAGAAGGTTGACCTCTGTAGGTTAGGCGTTGCGGGTTTGATCCCAGCGGCGGGCAGTATGTCTTGCATTGGTTTCGACACTGGTACTTAGAACTGACCATTTGGAAAGCAATGGCAAACCATTGAACGTAAAATTTGCCAAAAGAAACCACAACAGAAAAAAAGCTGCCTTTGGTTCTGCAAAGTCATGTTAAAGATGCACAGCTAACTTCAGATACACTTCTAACTTTGTAGAAGTGAACACGTTTCTTAACTTGGGTGGGTGTTGCTGATGAAACTCGCCATCGCCATGGGTTGTGAGTCCTTTGTCTGCTGACAGCGCAGTATAAGTGTCCATTGTGAACAATTTGACACAGACCAGTCTTGCCAAGTCCACATCATACAAGCGCATTAAATACACAATCCACCAGTCAGGAGTGCCAACACAAACAGTCTGCACATTACGGTACTTTATTAATACCCTACCCTAGATGACGTCACAGGACAGTCCAACATTTTAGAGATTGGCAGGACTGGGTTTCCCGGCTTTCTGATGCTTTTAACGATCCCAAAACATCTATAATTGGCCCTAACCCTAACCCACCTACGACGCACGAGAGAGTGAAGCCTAGGTCCCACGAGAGAGTGCAGCCTAGGTCCCACGAGAGAGTGCAGCCTAGGTTCCACAATAGCCTGCAGCTTATCTACCACCCCTGAAATATTAGACTGTCCCGTCACCTGTGGATTTTCCCTTTTTTTGGGGTAGTATATAAATAAAGCACCGACATTAGATACAAAGTTTATCTTTCTACCGAAAAGAAAGACGGAAAGTTGGCAAGTATTTTTTTAAACAAATAAAATAATAATATTAATAATAAAAATAATAATAATGATAATATTAATGCTAAAAATAATAACAGCGTGACCATGGTCTCATTTACTCAACAGCAAACAAATATGAAGAGGAGCAAGACCACAAGTCCGGCATTCCGATGTATTCAGAAAAAAGGGTAAGTTCATCGGTTGTAGCCCCTGTCTGAAAACTTGCAGTACGCAAAACCAAAAATACATGCACGGTTTTCCACGAGACTTCATACCTAGAACAAATGAAGTTCAAATGTTCTTCGGCGTCTGTAGCTCAGGCGTTGCGAACGCGCTTCGCAACGCCGAGGTGCGGGGTTCGATCTCAGCTGCGGACGGTTTGTCGTGCGTTGGCTTCGACAGTGGTACCGAGTACCGCTCTAAAAAAGCTATGGCAAACTAATTAACGTAAAACGTGCCTAGAGAAACACACACACACACACATACACACATACACACAAAATAAAAGCTGGGGTTGGTTCTGCTATGTTTTGTAAAAGACATACAACTATTTATTTGGGTATGTTCAGGTGAGTCCATCAGGCGGGTTGCCTCTATGAACTGACATGCCAGCAGCAGGTCCTGCATGGTTCACCATAGTTTGCCCTGCTCTGCTCGTGAGGCCAGGTTTCGCTTCCTAGTTGTCAGTATAATGGGCAGGCCTGCAGAATTATTATTAATTTTTTTTTAATGAAAACTATTCTTGATTGCATAACATGCTGTACATGACTACGTTTGTTTTGAAAACATATTTCGACGCGTTTTCTCCGCTGTAGAACGCGTATATACACAGCTGAAGTTATGCTTTACAGAAGAATTCTTAGAATTTCTTGGACAACTAAGAAGAGCAGCTCAGATATTTCACAAGAGGCAAATGCTCGAAGAAAACTTATCACAAACATCAGAAAGAGAGCCAACAATTGATTGTGTGTGTGTGTGTGTGTGTGTGTGTGTGTGTGTGGTGTGGAAAGTGTGTGTGTGTATATTATATATATAGAATATATATATATTATATATATATACCTATATATATATATATATATGTCAGAATCTTCTCGTGCTGTCTTCCTCTGCCTCTCTTTCCACAAATCTTTCCATCGGTCACATACACACACACACACATTTACACACATACACACACATATCACAAATACACAGCATAAAACACACACAAACACACACAATACACACATTCACACTCACATACCAACATACATACACACATACACACACACACATGTATATGTGTATATGTGTATATTATATATATATGTGTGTGTGTGTGTGTGTATGTGATGTGTATGTATGTGTATGTATTATACATACACATACACACACACATACACACATATATATATATATATATATATATATATATGTGTGTGTGTGTATGTGTGTGTGAGTGTTGTGTGTATGTGTGTGTATGTATGTGTGTATGTGTGTATTGTGTGTGTATGTATGTGTGTATATGTGTGTATTTGTGTGTGTGTTTGTGTATGTGTGTGTAAATGTGTGTATGTGTGTGTGTGTGTGTATGTGACCGATGGAAAGATTTGTGGAAAGAGAGGCAGAGGAAGACAGCACGAGAAGATTCTTGACAGTCTTTCGTCATGGCATGGATGGGTGTCAGCACACGAACTGATACACGCAGTTGCGGATCGCATCGCCACCGGGGGAGCTTTAGGTTATAATTGTGACAAGTTTTTTTTTTTTTGCGCCACGTAAACGTAGCTTAGCATGGCTCGCCATTAAGTAGCTAGGAAAACGACTCCTGCATTGCTCATGTGATCACAGGAGACAGACCCATTTACTGTTTTGACGAGCTACGGAGTCGTCTACCGGCGAGCCAATAGGCGACCCTGTCGCTGATGTTGAGTGTGTGGGTTTGGTCTTCAGGTTTTATTTCTAAAATATTTGAAGGGAGGTTACAACGTTCTTAAAACAAACAGTTTTTGAATTGGCGATTATCTACCTTTAATTTACCACACACACACACAAAAACGAAAAAAACAACTATTTTTGTTTTACCCTCGCTACAGTTATTACCTTTTAAGTCATGTTGTTTAATGTTAATACAATCGACGTCTATGCACATTGGCCATTCCCATGCGCGCTTAGTCCTCTGATGCAGCAGCCACTCCAAGAAACCTCTACCGATTGTTTCAACGAAAGGAGTTGGTTATATACCCTGTCTACCTTAGCTAGTTAGTCAGTCAGTCAGTCAGTCAGTCAGTCAGTCAGTCAGTCAGTCAGTCAGTCAGTCAGTCAGTCAGTCAGTCAGTCAGTCAGTCAGTCAGTCAGTCAGTCAGTCAGTCAGTCAGTCAGTCAGTCAGTCAGTCAGTCAGTCAGTCAGTCAGTCAGTCAGTCAGTCAGTCAGTCAGTCAGTCAGTCAGTCAGTCAGTCAGTTAGTCAGTCAGTCAGTCAGTCAGTCAGTCAGTCAGTCAGTCAGTCAGTCAGTCAGTCAGTCAGTCAGTCAGTCAGTCAGTCAGTTAGTCAGTCAGTTAGTCAGTCAGTCAGTCAGTCAGTCAGTCAGTCAGTTAGTTAGTTAGTTAATTAGTTAGTTAGTTAGTTAATGAGTTAGTTAATTAGTTAGTTATTTAGTTAGTTATTAAGTTAGTTAGTTTGTTAATTAGTTAGTTAATCAGTTAGTTTTTAGGTTAAATTAGTTAGTTAATTTTAGTTATTTAGTTAGTTAATTAATTAGTTAATTAGTTAGTTATTTAGTTAGTAAATTAGTTACTTAATTAGTTAGTTAGTTATTTAGTTAGTGTATTAGTTAGTTAAACAGTTAGTTAATTAGTTAGTTAGTTAATAAGTTAGTTAATAGGTTAAATAATTAATTAGTTAGCTAATTAGTTAGTTAGTTAGTTAATTAATTAATTAGTTAGTTAGTTAGTTAGTTAGTTAGTAAGTTAGTTAATTAGTTAGTTAGTTTATTAGTTAGTTATTTAGTTAGTTGGTTAATTAGTTAGTTAGTTAATTAGTTAATTAATTAGTTAGTTGATTAGTTAGTTAGTTTATTAGTTAGTTAGTTAGTTAGTTAGTTAGTTAGCTAATAAATTAGTTAGTCAATTAGTTAGTTAATTAGTTAGTTAGTCAATTAGTTAGTAAATTAGTTAGTCAGTTAATTAGTTAGTTAATTAGTTAGTTAGTTAGTTAGTTAGTTAATTATTTAGGTAATTAGTTAGTTAGTTAGTTAGTTAGTTAGTTAGTTAGTTAATTAGTTAGTTAATTAGTTAGTTAATTAGTTAGTTAGTTAGTTAGCTAGTTAGTTATTTTGTTAGTTAGTTAGTTAATTAGTTAGTTATTTAGTTAGTTAGTTAGTTAATTAGTTAGTTAACTAGTTAGTTTTTTAGTTAGTTAATTAGTTAGTTATGTAGTTAGTTATTTAATTAGTTAGTTAGTTAGTTAGTTAGTTAGTTAGTTAGTTAGTTAGTTAGTTAGTTAGTTAGTTAGTTAGTTAGTTAGTTAGTTTGTTAATTAGTTAGTTAATTAGCTAGTTAGTTAGTTTTTAGTTAGTTAGTTAGTTAGTTAATTAATTAGTTAGTTAGTTAGCTAGTTGGTTAGCTAGTTAGTTAGTTAGTCAGTTAGGTAATTAGTTAGTTAGTTAATTAGTTAGTTAGTTAGTTAGTTAGTTAGTCAGTCAGTCAGTCAGTCAGTCAGTCAGTCAGTCAGTCAGTCAGTCAGTCAGTCAGTTAGTTAGTTAGTTAGTTAGTTAGTTAGTTAGTTAGTTAGTTAGTTAGTTAGTTAGTTAGTTAGTTAGTTAGTTAGTTAGTTAGTTAGTTAGTTAGTTAGTTAGTTAGTTAGTTAGTTAGGTAATTAGTTAGTTGGTTAGTTATTTAGTTAGTTAGTTAATTAGTTAGTTATTTAGTTAGTTAATTAGTTAGTTAGTTAGTTAGTTAGTTAGTTAGCTAGCTAGTTAGTTAGTTAGTTAGTTAGTTAGTTAGTTAGTTAGTTAGTTAGTTAGTTAGTTAGTTAGTTAGTTAGTTAGTTAGTTAGTTAGTTAGTTAGTTAGTTAGTTAGTTAGTTAGTTAGTTAGTTAGTTAGTTAGTTAGTTAGTTAGTTTGTTAGTTAGTCACTCGACCGCTCAAACTCAGCCTCGTGCACCACGGACAAATCGACAGTTTGTGTTTGAAAAACATCGCTACGTTCAACCAGCATCCCAGAGGGGGAGCTTTAGGTTATAAGTGTGACAAGGTTATGTGCGCTACATAAAATGTCACATATTACTCGCCACCAGAAGCCCCATTAAGGACTCCTGCAGTGTTGAGACAGACCTAAATATTGTATCATAGGGCGACGAAGTCGTCTGCCAGCGAGCCAACGGACAACCCGGTCGCAGATGAAACCATACGTTTTGGACCCCGTCTTTTGTATCAGCTTCAGAGAGTGACTAAAGATAAAACCAGTTCTGGTAGACTGGGAATGGCAGTTGCTACCGAAATAGTTAATCAGAGAAAATTGAAACTTTTACCACTATAAAGTATAATTCCTGATATTCATTTTCAGAGACTTCAGAATCACAGTGGCAACGACTTTTGAGATGCCACCAGACGACGACAACTAACTGTCGCTCCGCACGCCTCAGGATGATAAAAACAATACGACTAGGGATGCAACACATTGAAGCCATTTTGCCCTCAGATCCGACTTTGAAAATCATCCATCTCGTGCGTGACCCAAGGGCCATAATCAACTCCCGTCTTGGTTTGAGACTCAAAGGGGAAATAATTGAGTATAACAATCTTTGTAATCCGATTATGGAAGACCTTGAGAAATCAAAAGAGATTTCGAAATTATTTCCTGGCAGTATTTTGACAGTTCGGTATGAAGATCTGGCAAAAGCTCCAATAGTTGCAGCAAGGCAGATATATTCGTTTCTTGAATTAAAAATGTCTTCACTGATAGAGCAATACATTTGGAATATCACGCACGCAGACTTGAGTGAATTTAATTCCTTCGGTACTTTAAGACAAGATTCAACAAAGACCGCTAACGCATGGAGACATAAACTGGATTATCAAACAATTTTAGACATTGAGAAAACGTGTACCGGATTGCTAGAAGTATTAGGGTATCGATTGTTTCAGTCAGAAGATGCGGTGAGAAATCTAAATTTGTCTTCGACGTACAGACTGATAGATCCAGATTTAATGAAATTATCGATCTAGATCCAATTATTCTTACGAACGCACTACTGCTACCATTGTCAAACATAGACACATTCTTCAGAAGACAGCATGAAAATAAACACGACAGAAATGAAATGTTTACGTACTTTGCTAGGGGTAACAAAGAAAGATCGACTTAGAAATGATAATAACAGGAGGATAGTCGGCACAGAGCTGATACTGAACTTTATAGGTAGACAACAAATCACATGGTTTGGCCATGTAACAAGATTGACAGCAGACAGGGCCCCACAGAGAGCAATGTTATATAGATAACAGACCCAGAGGTTGACCACTTGCTGTGAACTCTAGTTCAAGTTCTGATTTTTCGTCCACGCCTAGACTTAGTTTTCTTCCAGAATTCCAGAACCTGAGTGCCGCGTGCACACCCGTTTCACATACATGGACAACTTGTGTGCATACTGGTGGTTCCTAGCATGTCTGACAGATGCATTCCGACTTGGAAAAAAGCTCCAGTTGGTCGGCTCATACGTTGGGGGAGACAGTTGGTGTATTCTTATTTTCCCCAGAATGGGACATCGGAACCAATACGGCAATTGTGTATTTGTTTGTCTTATAATTCATAGTTTAACCTCTTGTATACTAGTAGACTTAATTAGTGTGTAAAAAATTATGTTTGTATAAAAGGTGTGTCACTAACATGACACTTATGTTTGTATAAAAGGTGTGTCACCAACATGACAATTATGTTTGTCTAAAAGGTGTGTCACCAACATGACAATTATGTTTGTATAAAAGGTGTGTCACCAACATGACAATTATGTTTGTATAAAATGTGTGTCACCAACATGACAATTATGTTTGTATAAAAGGTGTGTCACCAACATGACAATTATGTTTGTATAAAAGGTGTGTCACGAACATGACAATTATGTTTGTATAAAAGGTGTGTCACCAACATGACAATTATGTTTGTATAAAAGGTGTGTCACCAACATGACAATTATGTTTGTATAAAAGGTGTGTCACGAACATGACAATTATGTTTGTATAAAAGGTGTGTCACCAACATGACAATTATGTTTGTATAAAAGGTGTGTCACCAACATGACAATTATGTTTGTATAAAAGGTGTGTCACCAACATGACAAGTTTTGAAACCTCGTATAATTTACTATTGATAGTAATAAAACTGAACAACAACAATAACTAATGTTATTGAGCTTTACGTTCGCGCGACACATCTTCACCCTGCAGCCTAAACATTGGTGTACATTTGTAAAGCTTGTTAACAGATCTTGGGATGTTTCTTTTTGCGATCTTCTATTTAACCATACTGTGTTATGTAGGGAAGAAAAAAAAAAGAGGAGGGGGTTGGGGGGGGGGGTGGTGGTTAGGGTCTTGTCATATACTCGGAAAGGGGAGAAAAGGGGGGGATTCAAGCGACTGGAGGTTTTCCGGCGCCTATGTTTAAGATTAAAAAAAAGCAATTAAGCGACGGGAAAAGGAATAAATCTACAACGAATCAATAAAAGGATTCCTTCCAAAAAACGGTTCAAACATATTCAACAAAACGAACATAATCTACAGCAGAAGAGCTTTAAGTTGAAGCTTTCAGTTGCCTATGCTAGGCCGTTTATAAAGGGGGAGCTATCCACAATGTTTTTCACGCATTTGAGTTTATTGACAATCGTGCATTCCTTCCCCTGACCTATTAGGTTCCCTGCTGTTCATTAAACAAGAATCGAGAATAGAATTTCCAAGAACAAATTAAACGCTTTTCGCCACAAAATAAATGCAAATAAGCCGGTTAAGTTGTAAAACCTGAAGTGTGCCGGCGTCAAAGAGCTTCTTTGTTTAGTCCAAATTGCCAGCCAATATCCAAGGCGAGTGTAAGGTTCTCAGTCAGCCAGACTCAGGTGATCCGATTCTTGAATCCCGGACAAATTTGTGATTTGTGGGGCCTGTAGCGAACAAAGTGTCTAAATAATCAATTTGCGCGTGTACAAAGGAAGGGTTTGTTGTTTAACGCCGTTTAACAAAGACACTTGCGGGAGGTGCGTTAATTACGTGACTGCCTCACGGGAAAGAGAGAGCCGCTGTGGTGTGCCTGCCCTTGCTAGACGCCCGCCTGCGGATCTGAAGCTTGTGGGTTCAAGTCCTGACGAAGCCGAGTTTTTATTTTTCAAAATGATCTTAGCTCCCAGGTTTACCCGGCCTTAAATAAGTACCAGAGAAGTCATGGGAAGCAAAGGCGGCGGTGTGATGTGAACCACATTTCCTTCCCCCCCCCCCCCCCCCCCCCCCCCCCCCCCCCCCCCCCCGTGGCTCCCAGGTCAACTCAGCCTTTAATGGATACCGAGGAAAGTCAGATTCGGATACTTGGAGAGGAGATAAGGACCACCATACAAACCTTTGCCCACTGAAATGTATAAAAGATTGTCGGCACAAGAACAACATCAAGAAATATAAAACACTAAGTTATCATACACTTATTTATCAAGCGAAACACACGAACGAACGAACGAACGAAAGAACT